TAATCTTGAAAAATTCTATTATGTGATCTTCTGCATCATTTCTAACACCTAGGCCATATTTTCCAACGATTGTTCCTTACTCTTTGTTTCTAACCATTGCATTCTAATCACCAGCAATTATAAGTACATTTTGATTGCATGGTCGATCAATTTCAAACTTTTAAGAAGTTGGTAGAATTCTTTAACTTCGTCATGACTGACTTTAGTGTGTAAATATGAAGAGCAGTGATATTAGTTGGTCTTTCTTGAATGTGTATGGATATTATCCTACCACAGGTAGCTTTGTACTTTATAATAGAGCTTGAAATGGTGTTTTTGATGATGAATGAGGCACCATTCCTCTTCAATTTGTCATTCCCAGCATAGTAAACCATAGGATTATCAGATTCAAAATGGCCAAACAATTCCATTTCACCTCACTAATGCTGAGGATATCAATCTTTAAGCATTCCACTTCAAATTTGATGATTTCCAGTTTTCTCAGTGTCACACTTCATACATTCTATGTTCTGATTATTAGTGGCTATTTTGCAGCTGTTTCTCCTCGTTTTGAATTATGCCCCATCAGCAAATGATGGTCCTGAAAGTTTTGCTGCATTTGTATCATCATGGTCAACTCTCCCCCAGTCGTATTATGAGTGTTTTCCGACTTGAGGGGCTCATTTTCTAGTACTATTTCTCACAATTTTCCAGTGGTGAAACATTCAGAAATAGTCCACCTCTCCTTCTTCCTAGTCTTTGTTAGTCTGGAAGCTCAGCTGAAACCTGCCCACTATCGGTGACACTCCTGGTATTTTACATACTGGTGACATTGTTTCTGACAACACAGTAACATGCAAGCCACCATAATACGACAAATTGACATCAGTGTTGGGGTCTTCTTTGTAGGCATGATAGACTTGAAAATCTCTTTTTGCTATGCCTTTTCAATATGTCATTCCCAGCCTAGTAAATCATATTATTGTCTGATTTAAACTGGCCAATACCAGTCCATTTCAGCTCACTTAAGCCTCAAATATTGATCTTTATTCTTTCCATTTCATTTTTGACAACTTCCAATTTTCCTAGATTCATATTTCATACATCCCATGTTCTAATTATTAATGAATGTTTGCAACTACTTCTTCTCAATTTGACTCATGCCACTGCAGCAAATGAAGGTCATGAAAGCTTTACTCTATCCATGTCATGAAGATGGACTCGCCTTTGAGCAAGCAACTCTTCCCCAGTCATATTATGAGTGCCTTCAGATATGAGGGCATGTTTGATTTTCTGGCACAATGTCAGACAACACTCTACTGCTATTCATAAGATTTTCACAAGCCATTTTTGTTGTTGTTGTTGTTAGAAGTTGATCACCAGACCTTTTTTCCTACTCTGTCTTAGTGTGGAAGTTCTGCTGAAACCTGTCCAATGTGAGTGATGCTGTTGGCATGTGAAATACAGGTAGCATAGCTTCAGCATCTCAGCCACACACAAGCCACGACAGTACAGTGGGTGATGGTATCAGAGTTGTATATTGTTGAAATGAATCCTTTCTATGGAGGAATGATTATATTTGTTGTATGCCACAATTATAAAATGGGAATTTTACTTTACAGCCAGTATTTTTGTTAATAACACAACACATATTTATGAAGGAACAAAGTTGATGGTGCCGTTACATAAAAAGAAGAAAAGGAATGTCTTTTGTAATTCTACCTCTTAATGATAGCCACTGTTAATTTTTAGGTATGTAGTCCTCCAAATATTGAAAATGATGGTGAAGATGATGAGCATTTATTGAGTACGTGGATTTTCTCACTTACTTTGCATGTTAATACTATGTGATGTTGTTGTTAGATGCCTTCAAGTCCATTCCGACTCAATGCCACCGATGCGCAACAGAACAAGATCATTCCAGGTCCTGCGCTGCCTTCACAATTGTTGTTATGTTTGAACCCGTGTTGATGCCACTGTGCCAATCCACCTTGCTGATCCATTACTTTACCAGACATGACTGGTCCCTCCTGATAACAATCTGATGTATGAGAGACCAATTCTCACCATCTTGACCTCCGAGGAGCATTCTGGCTGGACTTCTTACAGCACAGATTGGTTTGTGTCAACTATTATTTTCTTTATTTCAAACTGTAAGAATATAAGTCTTAATAAATTCACCTAATTTATGTATCTATTTGTATTTATTTTTCACTTAATACAGTCACCTAATTTGCTCCAGATCACGTAACTTGCAAGTAGTATAATCTGGATTTGAACCCATGTAGTGTGAGCCCAGAGCACACATGAGTTAGAATAGTATTTTGGTCAAGTACACATCTTTGAAGAAACAAAAGCCAAACCAGGTGGCATTGAGTCCATCTGGCTCATGGTGGCCCTGTGTGTGCCAGAGGAGAACTGAGCTTGGCAGGGTTTTCAGTGGCTGGATTTTCGGAAGTAACTCACTAAACTTTTCTTCTGAGGCATCTCTGGATGAAGTCACACCTCCAACCTTTCTGTTAGCAGCTGAGAGTACTAACTGTTTATACTAGTTAGGGACGCTGAAGCCAAACTGTTGTTCTTAAGTGCCATTGAGTTGGTTGCAACTCATAGCAACCCTGTATGGGGTTTCTGAGTAGCAGCTGGTGAGTTTGAACCACCGACCTTGTGGTTCACACTGCCCCTGAGGTCCAGTGCTTATCCTATGATACCACAGCAGGACTCCGAAGTCATACTATCTGGGATTAAATCCCAGTTCCTTCTCTGAAAAACTGTTTGACTGTGGACAAGTTAATTCATCTGTCTGTGCCTCTCTAAAATGTGGTTGATAATGATATCAATTGTTCAGAAGTACGGACTTTGGACGTGTTACCAGGGGGCCCAGTCCCTGGAGAAACACGTCATGCTTGGTAGAGGGTCACCAAAAAAGACAATGGCCCCAAACAAAGTGGATTAATACAGTGGCTGCAACAATGGGCCCAAACCTAACAACCATTGTGAGGCTGATACAGGACCAGCAGGCTTTCGTTCTGTCTTGTTAGGGTCACTATGGATCAGAACCAACTCGATGGCACATAACAACGACATTCTTACTATACATACTTTACATAAAACATTATAATCCTCTTTGCGTCCTATCTTTTTAACTTTAATATGCTGTGAATATTTTTTTTGTTAATATAGTTGTACTACATCATTTGGAGTACTGGTGTGGCACTGCAGGATAATGCACTGGATTGCAAGCTCATTGGTTCAAACCCACCATCCACTCCTTTGAAACCCTACACAGGGTTGCTACGGGTCAGAAACAACTCTATAGCACTTAATGACAATGACTACATCATTTATACGGTTGTACAGTCTTTCATTGTTTCAATACACTATGATTTACAGAACCAATTTCCTGTTTCTCTAGAATATGACCTCCATATGGTCTACCTTTCCCAGATAACTGCAGCTTTCCCAGGGCCTAGAAGAAGATGACTGTCAGGTGGTGCAATTTTCCAGTGCCATCAAGTTGGTTCCAACTCATGGAGAGTCTGTATAGGCTCAGCTGGTGGGTGTGAACCTTTGTTCTTGTGATTAGCAGTCAGTACTTATCTTACGGCACCGGTACCACACCAGGAGTCCTAGCATGAGTTAGGTGTTTAATAAATATTTATTGAGCAAAGGGATGAAAGTTATTAATGTTTTCAGTTTTTCATTATGAAAATATTTCTTCTTTTTCTAGAATGTTTTGAAGTTTTAAAATCTATTTACAAGCAGTACTGTTATATATTGCTAAAGAATTAAAATGTAATTCCAATGCTGATATATAAATATATTGCACTTGAGGATACTCATTTGGTCCGAGAGAAAAACTACACAGCTAAAGCCCAGATGCATGGTTATATTTAAACTAATAATTTAAAAAAATTTCTTTTATGAAATTGTTTTCAAAGCGTGTTTTACCATGTGGGTAAATTTTAACAAAAATTGCTCAAATTAACTCCAAGTACAATGACATGCATAATGCTTTGATTACACATATGTAATTCATTTAGTCAAAAGAGATTTTGAGTAGGAAAAATGCAACATTGTAAGAAAAAAAGTCCCCATTACTATGATGACAGAGTGGTTCCCTGAGATGTAATCACATGCACATTTAGAAGAAAGCATTTTATAGTTTCTGTAATAGCAACATCTGGTGACTTTTGGACTATTCCAAAACAGCTTCCCTCCACTTTCAAAATTTCATTTTATGTTATACAAATCTATAGAGTTGCCTGTGGAGACTTAGGGAACTTGGCAAATTTTCAACGTTCCTTGTGCTACTCCTCCTCAATCCTTGAGCGAAGGTGGAAAATAGTAACACAGGGAAAAGTAAAATGCGTGAGGCAAATGCATGAGGCTAGGAGAGCCACTTGATGTTTTGTTAGGATAGTAAACACCCCAGAGGAAAATTTAAGAAGACGAGATTGGCCAACAGGCAGGGCTTGTTGACTGGAAGGAAGACACACAGACTCTGACTAGCTGTAGGGACAGATGTAGCTGAGCCATTTCTCCCTGTTGTTGTTGTTAAGTGCCGTCAAGTTGATTCCGACCCATAGCGACCCTGTATAGGGTTTCCAAGGAGAAGCTGGTGAGCTTGAACCGCCGACCTTGCAGTTCAAACGACTTCACAGTCTGACGCATTAGCCCACAGCACCACACCAGGCAGGGAATATAGAGTCTAGACCAGTATATATGTTTTCAGTAGAGAATGCTTCATTCTTCTTCTAGATAGATTTAGTTTTATTTTTTGGCACTGAATTGAAATGTAAAAAAGTATATTTTAATACCTTCACTTACACAGAAGGTATTATAATAACTTTGGTCTTGAAGACTAACTGATTTCATATAGTACAAACGTGATAGTAGCTGGCTACCTTGAGAATACTCTGAATGATAATCTTTTTTTTTTTTTAGCAAAATAAAAGTTTTATTTTGACAACAACAAAGGAAATGAAAAAAAAAAGAATGAAATTATATATAGAACATACCAGATCTATCCCTATACGCTTCTGTGGTTGGCTCAAGGGCTCATGGGGTCTCAGGTTAGTCTTTCTATTGCCGTGCTCTAAAATATACAGGATTACAAGAAACCTTTTGTCAGCTTTCAAAGCCCTGAACTCCTTTATGTCAACTTCCATTAAGAAACAATAATGACCTTTTGTATCCTTTGTTTCTTCTTTTGTAAATCTGTGATAAAGGTCTCTGACCACAGAATTCATCGGCTTCTTTGGTTGATGTACAATCTTATCTTTACTAGCCTTGTTGATTTCTTTAATGACATCATTAATTTGACAATACGTTAAACGAGCTTTCAGATACGCAGGGATACCATTGAACTCCCCGGAAGTTATAAATGAAATGTCCTTAATGTTTCTTTGTCCTTTTTGGGGCTTAGTTATGGATGCAGGTTCCACAACGATGACTAGCTCTTCAGGGTTCACATCTGGTCCCTTTTCAAAGTTCTTGGTAACTGCTACTTGAGGCAAATGGGTTGGAATGTTTTCTTTGAGATGTTGTCCATCTTTGTAATCTTCTTCAAGAGATTCACAGAGTTCCTTGAGTGAATTGCTGGTTTGTTCTTGGTACTCAATTTCCAATTCCAATTTATTTAAAAGTTCATTTACTTCAATGATCTCATCCCCTATTTTATTTAATATAGTCACCAAGGCAAGTTCTTGGCCACCATTCCTTAAGAACAGAGTGTTTTTAATATTGCCAATCTTTTCATTAATGTAAACACATAATTGTTCCAGATCAGAGAAGGCCATTTTTTAAGATCACGCTGGTCTCGGACTAAAACGCTTTCTCATTGCTGGATCCAAAGACTTGGACATCGGGGTCTGAATGATAATCTTTTCCCAATAGCAACTATAGTGACATCAGTTGGAGCCAAGAAGCTGAAAACCTGGTAAGAGACATCGAAGACCTATGAATAATGGTTAAGCACTTAACTAGGCATTGCAAAAGGAAGTAACCCAGTGATATTTTGTCCTTGAGTCCACTCATAACTTAATTTGCTGAGTCTGGCTCTAACTGATGTCACTATAGTTGCTATTGGGAAAAGCTTATCTTTCAGACTCCAGTCTCAAAGTTTCTCCTCTCCCTCTCTCTTTTCCTCTCTTCAATATGTGTTTACCTCTTAGTTTTTTTGTTTATTTTTTTCCTGTTTGCTCCGTGATTCCATTTCTGCTTCCCTTTCTTCCTCACTGCTACCTCCCTTAGCCTCTCTGATTATTTGCATGACTTACCCTTTCTTCCCCACCCCTATCAACTTTTTAATTGCCCTTGGAGAAGAAGTATTGTTTTGATGGTGATTGTGAAACAGAATTTTGTTGTTTTTAATTAAAAAAAAAAAAAAAATCCTTGAGAGGAATGTTATTTTTCCAATGGGGAAAAAAGCCCACCTTTCATTTTTTCCTCTTTTTGTTCCATTACAGAATATAAAGCACTTCAATAGAGTCTGACACAGAGCAAACACTCATTCAATCTTAGCAATTAGTATTTCCTTGGTTAATTTTCCTTCTGGGTTGGTTGACCTTGAAAGAAAAAAATATTTCATCTGTTTTCCCTAAACCAGCCAAGGTAGGCAGTTACCACTGTTCCTAATGGTGCCTTTCAGGAGGGACCTGGCACCCCTCCCACCGCACCCTGCTCCCATAGGTTGTTGTCCGCTTGTCTAACCAGACTCCATGACCAGGTCATTTAAGCTCATGTTCTTTTGCTTGAGTCTTAGAGGAAAGAATCAATGGACAATGAGCTTTATAGCAACACTTTCAGTTCTAGAAAATGACTCATGGGCTACCTTTGAACCTTCTCTGATAGTCCATGAACAGGGCTCGGGCTCTGCAGCCTGACATTGGGTCTCTGGATAAAGTCTTTACCCCCTGTCAGCATCCGTTTCTTCACCTGGTATAACCCCCTCTGTGGACTGTTGTGATAGCTAACCGAGAACAAGGAGGCAGAGCATTTAGCACAACAACTGCCCACATATATTAAGATCCTAATAAATGGTGGCATAGATTTCCAGAGTCCCCACTTAAAGGGATTTTTATCCTGGGAATGTTTTAATTGACTATGAGGGGGAAAGATGCTCCTTTCCACTCCATTAGTCAGTGAAGACGTAAATCACAGCAGAATATTATTCAATATAGTGCTGGACGATGAATCTCCAGGTCGGAAGGCACTCACAATACAGCGTGGCCACAAGGGTAGACTTGAATGTTTGAATGTTAGTTAAAAAGGTGCAAGATCACACAGCATTTTGTTTTGTTGTACATGGGGTCACCCTGGGTCAGAGCCAACTTGACAGCAACTCACAATGTTAACAATATGCCAGACACTCCAAGTACGGGTACAGACATAGTTAGTTCCCTATGGGGCTCTGACACACAGGAGAGATTGTTTGATTTGCTTAAGGCTGTTAGGACAGATCCAGGACTGATGCTTCCAAACCATTGTACTTTCCTTCTACCGCCAGAGGACACCAAGAATATTGGAACCAGAAGACGGAGTGGGTGGTCAGGATCCTTGGGGTTCACAGGGAAGTCTGAACTTCTCTGTCAAGAACCAGCCTCGACACGAGAGTTTGGTTCATGAAGGAGGGAGATCTGGCGGTGACAGAAATAGAGAAAAAGTACACACAAAGACGCAAAGAGAGAGAACACAAAACACCCCGAAACCAGAGTGGATGCGACACTGGTGGGCAGACCCTGGACTATGGGCATCGTGGCCCCTGCAGGCAGTAAAGCACTGCCCTGCAAACCTTAATGCATGCCTTGCCAGCTGTAACGCCTTACATGCCAGCCGTAGTGCATGCGGGCTTCGGTCTGTGCCCCAGTTTTATTTTGGGGAGGACCTTTACACAAAGGAAGGCAGGGTTTATTAAGACAGGGTACAGAAGTAAAATGTGATTAATCGTTCAAAACAGGACACAATGATTTACAGGAATCAAATTCTAAAACATACATCACAAATTGTCTTGATAATCTAACATCCTTAATTTTCCAGAACTTCAAGCAAATAGTTATATGATACTTTTCAGGTTTGAATCCCAGGGCAGCAACTCGGTTTCTCCAGGCTAATTATCATACCTATAGCACCTAATCTCGAATGGGAAAAAGATGAAAAGGATTGGGAGGAGTCCCACTGTGTCAGCTGCCTGGCCAAGACTTGCAGGAGGAAGCAAGATGCCTAGCTTAGTGGTTTGCACCTGGGGGCTATCCGGGAAGGCTGACACTATTGTTCTTAGGACAAAACCCCGGAATACGCCAATCCGCTTTGGGTGAATTCCTTGGGGGAAACTTGTTTTGGGAACTTTTTACAACCTTGGCTTTAGGAGAGGTTTTAATATTGGTCCATGGATATCAAGGGCTCATGTATTAAGTTTAATATCAAACATAACTGAATAACTTGATAAAGAACAGTTTGGACGAGCTTGCCCAGTGGCCAGAGTTTGTTCCTCAGAGAGATTTGTTCCCAGAACACCTTAAGCACTGCCAATACAGTGGAGACATTGAGAGAGGCACATAAGAAACATTTTCTCAGAGGCTACAGTTACAGAAGTTCGAAGCATAGCATGAATTAGTAGGACTAAAGAGAATTATACAGAGCTAGCCCAACAGTGAGTTCGTAAAAGCCAATGAACCCGGGACATCCAGAAGTTACTTCCTTGAAGCCCTCAGGGTCTCTGGCCAGCAAGCCTGAGTGCAGCCACGTGCTGGATTTTCGTCCATGACACTGGTCCTCAACACCCCAATACCTGTGGTCTGCAACACTTTTCTATCTTGGTTCAATGAAAGCTCACAGATGGTCCTCAGCAGTCCCTTTCTGTGATTGCTTCTGTCCATGAAACTCTTGCAAACTCCAGGGAACTTGGCTTTGCTTCTGGAATAAATGCTGAATGTGGCTTCATGGTGATTAGTCCAGATAGCTGACCTGGTTCTTGTGGGTCTTTTCTAGCTTTTTTGCTTGTTTTTCAATAGATTTTATTTTTTGGAGCAGTTCTGAAAAGCTATGCAAAAGGTACAGAGAGTTCTCATATACCTCTTTTCCCCATTGTATACTGTTTTTCCTATTATTAACATCTTGTATTCATGTGGTACCACCACTCGTCTGTCAGTTTGTCATATTGTGGTGGCTTATGAGTTGCTGTGATTCTGAAAGCAATGCCACTAGTATCTTAAATACCAGCAGGGTCACCCATGGTGGACAGCTTTCCGATGAGTTCCAGATGAAGACAAACTAGGAAGGAGTGATCAACCACTTCCGAATATGTCGTCACTGAAAACCTTATGAATAGCAGAAAACACTGTCAGATATAGTGCCGGAAAATGAGCCCCTCAGGTTGGAAGACACTCAAAATGCGACTGGGGAAGAGCTGCCTCCTCAGAGTAGAGTTGACCGTGATGACATGAATGGAGTAAAGCCTGTGGGAGAAAAGCCTGCGGGACCTTCATTTGCTGATGAGGCACAACTCAAAATGAAGAGAAACAGCTGTAAACATCCATTGAAAATCAGAACATGGAATGTACAAAGTATGAATCTGGGAAAATTGGGTGTTGTCAAAAATGAAATGGAACACATAAACATTGATATCTTAGGCATTAGTGAGCTGAAATGGATT